AAGCTCAGAGTGGCTTCTGAAATCCTCGGAGATGAAAAGATGTTGCATGTAATTGACACCCCCTTTCCAGTGGAAAAGGGCCAATGTATAAATAAGAAACAGGCCAACTATTGAGAGCTCCTTTCTGGTGGGAAATTAATCAGGAGTTGTCATTTCTATATAATATTATATATAATAGGGAGGAGAAGCTGAAGCTCAGGACAATTTCTCTGCAGAATCTCCGAGTCTGGGGCAGAGCTGGGGTCAGTGCCAGGAGGCCTGACACTGCCAGGCCAGTCTCTCCTGAAAGTGAAGACACCAGTGGACCTTAGAATGATTCAGGTTTTAAGGACCTGGTCCAACTCAAGGCCAATTTCCAAATTAGATGGAGTTGCTTGGAGCCTTGCCCACTGGAAAGACAACTGTGGCTTTGGTGATGTTGAGACAAAACCTTTCAATGAGGAAACTGCAATCCTAAAGCCAGCCAAGGATCCTGCTGCTGTGCCCAGTTCAGCTGTTGCCTCCCCAGCTGCCCCTGAGGGCTGCTGGCCGTGGGGAGAGGAGCAGCTGGCTGCACTCTGAAATGTCTGAGTTTTCCCAAGATACTCATTGTCTGTCTGCAGCACCAGCCTCCACCCTACTTGCTCACTCAACCGTGGCTGATGTGTCTGTAATTAAAGAAGAGGAACAATTTGAGATTTCATTTTCTTTCCTCAAATGAATTTCCTATTTTCATCACATTTTGCGAGGTCCCCCTCACCTTGCTTTTTGTCTTGTAGTTTTGCTGGGGGACCTTTAGTTTGTGGTGTAAGTAAGGGAGAAACAGGAGAAAAACAGATTGTTTTGGTCCAGGGAATTAAGATCCTGGGTCAGATGGCTGCTGCGGTCATTAACATATTTACATTTTTGCTTAAGAGCCGCGTTGAGGATCAAGGGAGTTAGGGGTGATTGTCATTGAAATGCGGATGAAACCTTGCATGAAATTGCCGTTAGTGTCCTGTTGTCTGGGGGCGGGGGGCAAACGGCTTCCTCATCCCTCATCGTGCCCAGGCGGAGGGGCTGCGCCAGGGCAGGCTCCGTGCCCGTGCTGTGGGAGCTCCGCTCCCCGCGGGGCTGGAGCCGGGCTGGGCACGGCCCCGCTGCTGCCTCCGGGCGCTGCCTGCCCTCGGGCGAGAGCCTGGTGCTCGGCTGGCCCTGTGCGACGCTTGGCCCCGAAGGAGATCCTCATGGATAAATGCATGAAGCGGCTAGCAAAGGTCAGTTGCCTCTTTTATAATTGATGGAGCTGAGTGTTTTGGGTCTGCTGTCACACGTTTTTGCGCTGGTGCAGCATCACCTGGACTGCTGTGTGTAGTTTTGGGCACCATATTATGAAAAAGACATGAAGCTGTTAGAGAGTGTCCAAAGGGGGCCACGAGGATGATGCAGGCTCTTGAGGGGAAGCTGTGTGAGGAGTGGCTGAGGTCTCTTGGTTTGTTTGGCCTGGGGAAGAGGACGCTAAGGAGGGACCTCACTGTGGTCTTCAACATCTTCATGAGGGGCAGGTTCTGATGTCTTTGCTCTTATGACCAGGACTCAAGGAAACAGCTAGAGGTGTGTCAGGGAGAGGTCCAGGTTGAATATCCATGGGTGGTTGTTTGTGCTGGAGTGCTGGAACAGGCTCCCCAGGGCTGTGGTCATAGTACCGAGCCTGTCTGAGTTCAAGAAATGTTTGGACAACCTTCCTGGGCACATGGTGGGATTCTTGGGCTGACCTGCATAGATCTAGGAGCTGGATGGAGCATGGAGGACTCGATGATCCTAATGGGTCCATTCTAACTCGGCACATTCTGTGATTCGATGATTTGCCATGTGTAGAGACACAGGATATGCAGGACCTGCTCAGCCCCTTGATTTTTGTGGATAGCTGTGATAGCAGAAACAGGGTTTGAAACAGTTTGAAGTATTGGTATGGATTTTGAGTGGTAACAGATGAAATTTTTATATGCTTTTTATAGAGAAATATTGTACAATTGTACAATTAAAAATTGTTTCAACATGAATAAGAGGACTTCCTTACAGCTGGGGTTGACAGTAAAACATTCTGCTGCAGGTTGTGGAGCCTGTGCTTTGGCCCTGCTCTGAGATGTTTGAGTTCAGATGTTAGTTGTTCATTGTTCATCTCTTACTCTCACATTGTTCAGATCCATTGTTTTACTTCACACTTATTTCTAATTATTATCATTAACATAGTGCCAAAAATAATTATATATAATAACATGGAAGAGGAGAAGAGACTCGATAGCCAAATTACACTACAGAAAACACCAGCTACCTTCTGCCACTGTTTTGGTTTTTGTGGAGCAAGCAACAAGACTTCAGTGAGCTGAAGGGGGAATGCTGGTGCCTATTGGTGTGAGAAAGAAGCAGATTCACTCATAGCCACCAGACAGCTACAGTTTCAGCTGTGCCTGTGGAAGCCAGCAGCCAGTAACAGCAGCATCCTGAGTGACAGGATGTGTCAGCTCCAGCACTAGCGAGTCTGAAGTCATTAGGGTGTCCTTGGGGGCTGGGTTGAAGCTCTGAAGACATTGTGTAATTTCTGTTCTTGGTTACAAAATGCTTCTTTTTGGAAGGCTTGAAAGCAGAACAAAATCTGGGAAAAGTGGTTTGTGATCTCAGCAGCTCTTTTGTTCTCTGGAGGCCTGTGTGCTTCAGCTCTGTATCTCATCTGCCCTTTGAAGGAATAGCCATGTTCCCTGGGGCTGCAGCCCTTGGTCTTCCTACAAAGTCAGTGACCACACAGCATGGGGAGAGTCCCACACTTTGGGTGCTGACCCTAGCCCTCAAAGTAGAGAGGTATTGAAGCCTCCAAGGAGCAAATGGTTATATCCTAGACAAGCTAGGTTCTGACATTTTAAATATCAAGATACAGTTAAAGTGGTGCAGTTAAGTAAGATGTTGGTTAGGTCAAATGTTTTTGAGAAACAGGGATGAACAGAGCAGTATCTATGGGCTTGCAGGTCTTAGATCCATTCACTGAATGACTCATCTCACAGCTCCTACAAATTCCCCTTGAGAAAGGTCATCCCAGGTATTGTGCTAATAATACTTTATTTCCTGGGTATGGGTGTGTCTGGGATTGGGCACCACAAACAGGCTGGCCTGAGAGTCACTGCAAGAGCTAAAACTCATCAGAGCTGAGCCTGAGTGCAGAAGCCCTGACTTTTGGGGCTGGTTTTAGAGTTTGATCTGTTAACTCAAAGCATCAGAGTGGGCCAGAGTAGGGGAGCTGAACTTCTCCAGGGATTAATATTAAGCCTTTGTTTAACAGTAAACAGCTGATGAAATCCACCTTTGGCTCTGGGTGCCATCTGTGAGGTACATCCAGGCCACCTCACAAGGGCAGGACAACCTTTGGCAGAGAGCAGGAGAGAGTGCCCAGCTCTGACTGTCAACAGGTCGCTTGGTTTGTCTTGTTTTGTGCAATCCCCAGCAGTTTCTTCACAGAGGGGCTGCTGCTTTGACCAAAGGTAGATAGTCCTACTTCAGCAAGGAGCTGTAACCTCCTCAGGTTAGACAGCTCCTCCTCAGCCAAGCAGCCGGGGAGAGCAGAGCAGCAGGACAAAGGTGTTCAGGCCAGAGGGAGATGGAGCCAGATCCTCGCACATGGGCACCACAGCCTCTAAACAAGCAGCCCGTGCCTGAGGCTGGTCTGTTTTACAGCTGCTCTGCTCACTGCAGAGCCGTGCCAGCCCTGCTGCTGGCAGGCTGCATCCTCTGCCACATCCTCCTTCCTTCCCCCTCCCTTGCCAAGGCACTTCACTCCACCGTGACTGATCGAAGGCCCAGCTCCTGTTCAAATTTCCTTCTCTGTTAGGAAAGAGTGAGGATTGATAGGACCTTTTTGGCTCTGCCAAGGCCTATTATGTCCCAAATGTTTCCATGAAAAGACTCCCTTCTGACCACCCTGCCCCCTGACAGCCGTTCAATCCAGCCAACAAGCTTGATATCATTATCTACAAAAGGAGGCCAGCGAGCACCAGGGTCCTCACAGCCAAGTTTGGGAAATCAAAGGCAAAATCTCCCAGCAACAGAGAGCTGGTAGAGATCAGACTGCGCCAGGGCTAGTGCAGACTGGTCTGGCAGCTTGCAGCCACTAGTTTTCCAAGCACATCAGAAAGGTGCTCGGCGTGGTGCCAGCACTGGCTTTGTCAGGGCTGAGGCTGTGCCCTGGGAGCTGGCAGCCCCTCAGAGAGTGCCCTAGAGGCCACTGGAACAGTCATTAGTTTGGACAGCCTTGTAAAGGTGTCTCTTTTCATCAGTGGCATGTCTAGATTAGCCACTTAGGCTCAGGGAAAACAGTGAAGTTTTTAGTCAGAGTGGGATTCACTCCAGGTCTCACCTGGGACTTTCCTTCTAATAACTCTGGTTTACATTCTCAAAATGGCGTGTGGCTGCTTTGTCACTTTTAGTTTGACATGGTGTTCGTCTGCTTTGCTTCCTGTCCAAAGATTTTCTTTGCCAACTCAAAATAGCTCTTCAGCAGTGAAAGCACTTACCATAGTGAAGGCATCTGTAGAGATGATCTGGAAAGGTGACTGTGAGAAACACTGAGCATGGAGGGGGCTTGAGGAGGGGTGGCATATTCCTATGGTGCAATTGTGTTAGGAAATAGAGGAGTTCCTCCTTTTCACTGCATTTTATCTCACAAACTGCATCTCTGGATGCTTGATGTTCCAGATAGAAAGAGACATAAAAAATAGGCAAGAGAAATAGTGATGCAGAGGGCAGGAAGGTGAAGGGAGCTGATGTATCTGAAGCTTGGGTGGAGATGGAATGGTGGTGTGGACGATGGTGCCTGGACTCACCTCTCTCTGCAGCAGGGTGCTTTCCAGTCCCTGGGTGATTGCAGGGCAGTGTCACCAAAGCCTAGAGCAGCCCCTGTGTTCCTGTGGGTCTGCAGAGGGTGATGAATGCACAGGACAGAGTTGTGTGTAACCTGGGGTTGTTAATTGTGGCACTCTCCCCTCCTGTCCCAGTTTGATCCTGACAACACTGGCTACATCAGCACTGAGAAGTTCCGCTCCCTTCTGCAGAGGCACGGCTCGGAGCTGGACCCCCACAAGCTGGAGGTCCTGCTAGCCCTGGCAGACAGCAACTCTGAGGGGAGGATCTGCTACCAGGACTTCGTCAACCTGGTGAGTGCTCTGGCTGGCAGGGCTGGCAGTCCTTGGCTCTGCTTAAAACATGGGCTGTTGAAGGACAGTGTCTCTTTCGCTCCCTTTATTAACACCAGTGTTTGCTGCATCATATTCTGCATGGACTTGCTTCAGCAAGACTCAAATTGCTTCTGATTTTTCCAGGGAAACAAATTTGCATGGGAAGGAATTGTGGGAACTGTAGTAATATCATGAAGCAATGGCTGCTGCTGCTGCTTTGGAAGTTTTTGCTCTCAGTATCTGTTGCTAGCTGCTATAATGAGCCATTTGTTTGCAAGCAGAGGTCTGTCAGTCTGGATGTCTCCTGTTTTATCTAGAGATTTCACCACTTCCAGACAAAAATATATAGATAAGGTTGTGTTGACATGCTAGGTAGAGTCATATTGCACTGCTGTAGGCATCAACAGCAGCAGGGATAAAGTGTTTCTAGCTCATGTTCATTTTATTCCAGGTGAGGTGTCTCAGAGTGCATGAGTCATGATCTGGATGCCTCTCTATCTCTACTGAGTCAATTAGTGAAGGGATTGCTCTGTTTCTTGTCAAGGCAGTTTGTTGAGTCAACACAAATGTAGACATGTGTTGTCAGGTGCCCAGGATGGCTTACAAATGTTGTTTACAAGATATCTTGGACATTGGCCATTCAGAGGTTTTGCCTTGTTCTTACTCTGTCATTGAACACCTGAATCCCAGATTTGATACAATATTAATATAAGCCTGGGTGACAAAGTCAAAGAGGAATGGAAGTTGGTGACATCTCTGAGGTTTCTGTGGAAAGCGGGATGTGTCCTTGTTGCTGAGTACAGTAATTTATATCTCTGTGTGTTCTGCAGACAATGTGGGGATTTGATCCCTTCATTTGTCATGGTCACTCATGCACGTGTCCTTGGTTTAGAAAGAGTCTTATATATGTCCTGTTTTCACATTAATCAGAAAAGCATGATAACATGGCCCAGCTGTCAGGGACCCAGGTCATGACCTCCATCAGGCTGTGGGCAGTGTCAAGGTGAAGTTACTTTGTTGGAATGACATAAATGTGCTCTATCTAACCAGGCAGTCTTGCAAACCCTGTGTCTAGGTACACAGTAGAATAAATGCAGCAACTCTTAAACAGATTACACAATGTGAGGTTTTCCTCAGCTCCAGCATAACAAACAGTGTGGTCCTCCGTGCTCAGCAGAGTATTTATAGTAACAGCTGCTTGTTCCACAGTTGGGGATATTCAAAGTACTGTGCAAGTGTTCACTAATTGGGCTGCACAACCCTTAGGTAGCAGGAAGAGGCATCATCGAATTTGTTTTACAGAAATGATGGCCTAGGGCCAGCCAGCACATTGGCAACAGGCTCAGGAATAGAACTGGGTTTTCTTCTCTCTCCTCGCTCCACAGGGCTCGGGAGCAGCACACACTAATGAGAAGTAGGTGGGAGCTGAAATGCCTGGACATTCTCCTCCTTTGGGAATAGAGACTGTGCCAGCTCACACCCAGGTGATGTGGTTTCTGCAAAACAGCAAATTTCCTTCACTACTATTGAATGACTCCTATAAAGAAGCCATTGATTTCCCTGTCACCAGCCCCTCTCTCCTTGTCTGCATTTTTGCACTTTCTAATCAATAGGCAATGCAAATGCCAAAACATTAAACTACTTACAAATGACATCTCTCTTCTCACTTATCCTCTAGTTTCTATTGATTTCCAACATCCAAACTTTTTTTAGGGCTCCTTCTCTTTTCTCTGCCTTCTGAACTTTCTTTTGAACTTCCTGATGGAAAGAAGCAGCACAGTTTATACAGAATCACTGTGAAATTAGGGATTTCCTTCACCCCCTAGCTGTCAGTCCTCGATGTGATGGTGTTTAAATGCATGTTTGTGTGTGATGATCATTAGCCCTTTCTGCTTTATGCTCAGGTTAATTTGTCTGTTTTGGTAGCTTAGCAAGAACTGACCTGCTGCCAAAAATGATGGTGCTGGGTGTGGGGATGGAAAGGCTGACCTTTCACTAAACCAGAGGCTTCACAAGCAAGGCTCTCTTTATGTATGGTTTTCCCTTTCTCCGGCATCATTATGAGCACCAAGAACTCTGCCTGCTCTCTCAGGCACTGTGATCCCCAGCTACATGACTGCTATTGAGCAAAGCTATGTTATCCTCTGATGTCCAAAATGTTTTGTGAACTTCCAGATACATCAAAAATGTAATTATAGGACTTCTCACCTTAATAACAACATCCATATGTATGCCTGCTCTCAGCAAAGCAACTTAAATTGATGAATTTGAAAGTTTTAAAATGTGAGACTAGACCCCAGAAGGCGCTCAGGAAATAAATTGAGAAATTAATAAATTTAAGGAAGATGAAAACTCTGGTGTGATCTGCAAACAGAAAAGGCTCAAAAAGATCAGATAGGCAACTCATTCAACTCCTTGGAAATTAGTTCTCCTCTGTGTGTATGAAATTCATCTCGTGTAGCTGTAAAACACAATGCTGCAATCATATCCATGTCTGTTTCTGCACTGTGGTTTGTAATAATGGCAGAAAGCAGTTTCAGATGGGATTTCTTCTGCTGTGTCTGAGACAGTGCAGAGTAACAAAAGTGTTTCCTGTACAAGTGGAGACATCTTGTGCATCTCTGCTCTCTGGCTGCTTTGCAGCATTGTGGAAAGAGATGCACAGAGAAAATTCTGGCTATGAACAGCATGGGCACAGGAGGAGATAATGAACCAATGTGTTTAACTAACTTTTCAACTTTTAGAGAAGAGACAAGCCAAGAGTTAATGATACTTGATATGCTATTTGCTGGGGTTCTTGCTGAACAGTAGTTGCTGTTGGCAGTCCTGGATTACTTCAGATAATATTCTGTGAACTGTAATAGAGCTTGCAGTAAGTAGTAAGCTCTAAGACAGAGTTCATGTGACTTGGGAAAAACAAAACACTGCTGCTTCCAACAGAAATATTTAGCTGTGACTTTGTAGTTACTTGAAGTTGATGTAACATCTCAGCAATGAGCAAAATATATTAACTAATTAAAAGCACATCCTTTATTTTCCAGATCAAGAATCACCATCTACTTTGCTTTCCCTGGCCTTGCTGGTTTCTAGGGACAAGCTAATTCTACCTCATTTTTAATGTGAACAACACACAGTTTTGATGCACTGTGTAACATGTTATTTGAACCACAATGTTAGTCTTGTCCTGCAAGCAATGTTCTTTCAAGTCACCTTGAAATTTGAAAGTGTTTTACTTTTTCTATTGGAAGTGCTGGAAGGCCTAAGCCTGCCACATTTAGTAGGAATCAGACAAAAACTTGAGCAGGGATAATTTATTTTGTCTCTCCTGCCTCTTTCTTTGAATCCCTCAAGTAAACCACTGCTCGATCAAACCAGATCGGAATGCTGATATTTGGTATTAAGGTTTTTTCCCTTTGTTACTATTTGGGAAAGTGCTACCAGGTTGGCTTAGAGGATGTGAACATCTGTGACAGATGAACTTAATGCTGAGATATGCATTTTGGGAAAAGCTGTCTCTACCCACATTAGCATTTTGTAGAAGTGTGGGCAGAGGGAAGGAAATAAATGTGAATCTTGAAAGCAAAATTGATTGGAGAGGTTGCATTTGTAAGTAAAGTGGGTTATAAAACTGGAGCTGGCAGAGGCTTTTAAAAAGCTTGTGCTAACTTCTGATTTAATGTTCTGTGTCTTGGAGGATCAGAGCTGGAGAGCTGAATGCATTGCCTGTCACAGAGCTGCATGTGTTTAAAAATAGCTCAAGACCAGTCTCAAAGATGCCAATACGTAATCAGCAGAAATCCATGTTTTTCAAAACCTTCTGAGTGAGGCTGAATAAAACCATAAGGGTACTGTACCCCACACAAGCCCAGAAATTTGAGATGGGGGAAATAATACATGACTTGGCTATTGATTATCTGAGGTAGCCACAGTACTACAGATATCCAAGGAACACAGAGAAATTGGTCTGCCAGTGGAGATGGACAACTTCCTTTGCAAGTTGCAGATTATCCCAGAGTAATTTAGAGTGCTATGTGTGCTAAACAAAAGCAGGGCCTTGTACTTCATCAAAGTTTGTCACTGTTCTACTCTTGACATCCTAAATGTTGACGTTTTTAGTGTTGAAGACAGGTTCAGATCGAAGTAGGAAAAGATTTTCCATTTGCACAGAGGTATCAAACCCAGCCCTTGAGCAGAGCTCTAGCACTAAGCCTTGGTTTGTTTTGCTGGGGGGATACCAAAGGGCAGGGGTGACAGGACCTGGGTGCCAGTCAGCTCAGCCTGGCTCTTCTGCAAGGGACATTTCTTTCTGCAGAATACCATTTTGCAGGCAGGAAGGACTAAGGGAATGTGGTGTTCCCCACTGCTATCTTCTCTCTCCACACACTGTTTGCTGTACCCATCTGCTTGCAGCTTTAATATCACGCTCATTAAAGAAGTCCTAGATTGATTGCGTGAAGAGCAGTGGGGTGGGCTGCCCTGGGCTCCTGGAGCCATGATAATGTGCAGGCCAACAATGGGCCTAGTGTTCTTGCAGCTGATGATTAAATAGTTGGCTCATAAATACCAATATTATGTAATTCCAAAATCCAGTCAGCAAATTGTGACCATATGCGAGACTCTGTTTGGGAAGATTTGAATCTTCCAAAGTCAGTCTGAGGAACAAAACAGGTTTCTCATCAAGAGCTGGTAAGGGCAGCAATACTGACTTAATCCTCTGTCTCTCCTCATGCCCATCTCCTCCTAGCTTGACCCAAAGGCCTCTGGGGTCATGTGAGTAGGGCCAGGATTGCTGTGTTTGCTTGAGCCCTGGCAGTCAGCTGTGCTGTCTCTTTGGAGATCATCTCCTCCTTGGTGCCCTGGGCAGTGTATGCAGGAGGGGACCAGCAGGATGCCTCCTTCCCAAGAGGCCTGATTTTACAAAGGGCTCAGTACATCCACTCATCCACATCTTGAGGGATTGTGGGGGCTTTTCAGCACATCTGGCACACTCCTGACACTGTGTCCCTGCCTCATCGGGGTGTACAACCATGCCAAGGCTGCAGCATGCAGAGGGAACCTGGACCTTCTCTCCATATCCTCTGCTCTAAAGAGGGTCTGGCAAATATTTTCATGTGTCTTCCATGTTAGCTTCTGTGTGGGCTGTGAAAGGTCCTGTGATTTATCCTCCTCTCTGGAAGGAGGAAGGCAGAGCTTTCTGCTGAAGAGTAGTCCAGTTTCCCACCTCCTCACAAGAGCCAGTGGAGGCTTTGGTCATCTGAGCTATGACTTGCAGTGATCCTGCAATATTTTGCTCTGAAATCTAAGAAGACGTTTCCCTGTTTTGTTTTGGTTTTTTTTTTAGTACATTGAGGAACACCTTCAGAAAGGTCATGGTGATGAATTTGCAGTGCCCTGGCTGTTTTCTGGGCTCCATGGGCAGCACAAGCATTATTGCAGAGAGGACACTGGACTGTGCTGAGTTCAGGTGACTGAACTGAGCCAGTCCTTTGTAACAGTACAGACAAGTGCAGGGGTGCCTCCCTTAGGATCCTCTGCTCAACAGATGCAAGGAAATCTTTGTTAGGATCCTAACTATGGACATCAGCAGCCTTTGGAGTTTCCTGCCCATCTCCCTTGGCAATCTCTGCCCTGATGAGGTGATCATCTACTGAGGGTGGCCAGCACTTCTTGTTGCTGAGCTGAAATGATGATTTTCCTTGACTCTGGAAATTATTATCTTTTCCACTGAAGTGCTGCAGCAGGGAAAAGCACTGAGTGTTTTGTGGTAGGCAGGAAAATCCCATTTATCACTGTAATTGGAATAATCACATCAGCAGCTCCAATCAACTGTCTGGTATCTTCAGGCAATTTTATAGTTTCAGTCTGAATTTATTCTTCTCCATAAGAGGGGCAGAGCCAGAGAGAAAAGTATGAACTTTGTGAGGGAGCACATGCAGAGCATCTCTGAAAGGCTGTTCTGAACTAACCTGGAATGAAGCTTTCTTCTGTGGACACAGAGAGGTCATTAGGTGGCTGAAAGTGTCTTTGAAACAGAGGTACATCTCTTACCTAGCAAAAGGCATCTCACACATGCTAAGCAAAGCCTTGTACCTGTTGGATGTCTCTCTATGAAAATATTATCTTTCAGTATGAGCAGGCTTTCTTAATGCAACAGAGGACCACAACAATTTTTTCCCCCTCATCTTCTCTAGTTTTAGATACAGGCCATTGAATGATAGACATGAGAAGATTAAGAGAGAGATTTTGTGGCTTTTTTTTCTTCTTTGTTTTTCTGCTTTTTTTACAAGAAATGTTCTATTACAAGTGTTTTCTGAAGAGAGAGCAAAGGAGAAATACCAGAATGGAGAGAGTTGTTAGGGTAAAACATCTCACTGAAACAACGCAAAGAGAACAACAACAACTTTTTCATCAGTTTAAAAAAAAATATAAGAACATCAACTGACGGTCAGTGCTCCGCTGTGTTGGAGGGACAGGCTACAAATGAAGGCTAAGGAGTGACAGGCAGAAGGGGTCACAGTGCCATCACCTAAGCCTTGTACCTGTTGGATGTCTCTCTATGAAAATATTATCTTTCAGTATGAGCAGGCTTTCTTAATGCAACAGAGGACCACAACAATTTTTTCCCCCTCATCTTCTCTAGTTTTAGATACAGGCCATTGAATGATAGACATGAGAAGATTGAGAGAGAGATTTTGTGGCCTTTTTTTTTTCTTCTTTGTTTTTTTGCTTTTTTTACAAGAAATGTTCTATTACAAGTGTTTTCTGAAGAGAGAGCAAAGGAGAAATACCAGAATGGAGAGAGTTGTTAGGGTAAAACATCTCACTGAAACAACGCAAAGAGAACAACAACAACTTTTTCATCAGTTTAAAAAAAAATATAAGAACATCAACTGACGGTCAGTGCTCCTCTGTGTTGGAGGGACAGGCTACAAATGAAGGCTAAGGAGTGACAGGCAGAACGGGTCACAGTGCCATCACCTCAGATGGCCCCTTGCCTTCCTCCAGTGATTAACAGGAGGTGGCTCCCTGCAGTGATTACTGTATTTAAGCAGCTTGGTCCAGCTTGGAGCAATTCCCTGACTGCCTGGGCACTGAGAGCATAACCTCTGGGCTTTGCTAGCTTTGGGATATCAGCTGAAACCAGCAGCATCCAAGACAACTGGAAGCCAATGCTGTTGAGTGTCATCTCTTGCTTGGTTCTGGGAGGCTGGATGTGCCGGTGGTTTGAGAGCAGTTAGCAGCTCTCTCAGAGGAAGGACAAGGCTGTTGTGTTTGCTTTGCTGCCTGTTACAGGGGAAGGTCCCCCTGCAGCACCCTGTGTACACAGCGAGGCTTTGGAGCTCCCTGCCAAAGATTCAGCCAGACAGTGGCTCTAATGCAGCAGGTTTGTTTGATATCAGGGCTAATTAACAATTATACAAATCTTGGAGCAAGCTCTTTCAGACCTGGTTTGTTCCCCCACCCCCAGAAGGCTAAGCATGCTAAGCATAAGATTCCATCTGCCTAATTTGCAAATGCAATTGCTTTAATTATGCATCCAAACTGGTAAAGTGTATGCTCAAAAAGATAGCTAAATCTATGCATGTAAGGGGATAATGCATATACAAATTAGCTGTAAGCCTGTGCCATCTCAGAGCCTGCCCCCTCTGAGGATAACTTATAAAAGAAGCCTTGTAAAGACTTGCAAGCTTACAGGAGCTAAGACAGCCTGTACAGCCGATTAATTTGTTGTTTGTTGCTGTTGCTCAGGCAGTTTTGTTTTACACAAAGAGATCATTTTCTTTGCCCAGAGCTAACTCCTGCCACAAGGGCTAGATGTGCTGTGAAAGTGCCTGCTGCTACATTTGAGAAATTTCCTGCCCCAAGACTGCAGGGAAGTTTGATAGAGCAGGGGGATCAGAGGGAAGGAGGATACAGGAATATGGATTGTGATAACTGATGGTGAAGAGGGTGCATGGAAGGCTGGAGAATGGGCCATAGAGCTCAGCCAGGTGCATCAGCAGCTCTGCCTTGCCAGAGTTCTGCCCTGACCTCATTTATTGGCATCATAATGGCAGGCCATGGTGCTCGTTTTCCTTGCACCCCAAGTTTTCAGTGCACCCTGTCATTGTCCCGAGACTTGGTTCCTAAAGCTCAGCCTGGTGGTGGCTTTCCTGCCTGCCTGCATCTGGTGCTGCCAAAATGGCACTATTTCCCTGATGATTGTAGCTTTGTACTCATGGTTTCTTCTGCTCCCTTTTCCCCAGATGAGCAACAAAAGGTCCAACAGCTTCCGCCAGGCCATCCTGCAGGGGAACAGGCGGCTGTGCAGCAAGGCCCTGCTGGAGGAGACGGGGCTGAGCCTGTCGCAGAGGCTGATCCGGCACGTGGCGTACGAGACGCTCCCGCGGGAGATCGACCGCAAGTGGTACTACGACAGCTACACCTGCTGCCCCCCGCCCTGGTTCATGATCACCATCACTATCGTGGAGGCAAGTACCTCCCTGGCAGCCTCCCACACTGCCAAAGGCTCTGCTGGGACACAGGGCTTGGAGAGGGACTCGTTCAGGCCTGGACGAGGACAGACGTGAAGCTTTGGTTGCCTGTTGGAGCGTGTTTAAGTGGAGACTGCGATCCTGTCATTGGAACAATTCCTATGTGGGACTACACAGTTTGGGAAATGGGAGCAAAACTGTTTGAGGAGTGAAAACAGGACAGTTCTAGAGAAATGGATAAGTCAATAGAATCAGAAATTTCTGTACGGCTAACTCTGTTCTGTGAGTGGAGAGAAAAAGGAGGGGAGAGAACCTCTGGGTTAAATATTCTGACCTGCTCATGTGTTGCCCAAATGAGATCTTTGCACATTTGCTGAGTAATGTGCTCAAGAAAGTACAGAGTAGGATATGACACTGATAGTAGGGTGCTGACTGGGAGCAGGTTCCTCTGACTCAGGGGCTGGTGTGTTACAGAAGGCCACAAATACAGTTATATCAATGTGTTGCAGGTTCCTCCAAACAGGGAATTTTCATGCTGTGTGAAGCTGTCAAATGGGAGAAAAGTTTTTAATATGTTACTTTTTTCTCCATTATTTTAGGTAAAAGGTACTTTTTGGTGAGAAAAGGCATTTGCTAAACAGTGAATATCTCTGCTCTTCTAGGTTGCCTTTTTTCTTTATAATGGAGTGGTCTTAGACAGATTTGTGCTGCAAGTCAGCCACCCCTTGTACCTGAAGAATGCATTACTGTACCATCCCCAGCTTCGGGCCCAGGCGTGGAGGTACCTAACCTACATATTCATGCATGCAGGGTGAGTACTTACAAACAGTTCAGGTTCCCCAGAGAGATAGAGAAAGTGACAGAATCAGCTCAGAATTAAATTTTAAAAACTCCATTATAAATTGTGTGTAAAAATATGAAGATGTTGTGGATTGTTGGGCAATGAGGTGCAAACCTTCACAGCTCTCTGAAGGGACAAGGCAACAAAAGGAACTTATTAGATGCTGCTCTTGGTTGGGACCACACTTGCTTCTTACTGTGCACTTCCTAAAACCAGGTCAAAGCCCAGTGTTCCACTAAAGGAGCAGGTGGTAGAACAAGTCTGCAAATATGTTGGACTGGTATTTAAAAATACAGGGTTTTGGAAAAGTCAGTTAAATTCCCTGTGTCTGGGATATGGCATCACTCAGTAATGTTGGTCCCTTCTGTAGGGACTGAGCTAATGCCTAGAAGGCTGTGCCAAGCCTGAACTCCCACTTTGTACACACTGGACAAACACTAATGTTCCTGAAGAGTTGATAATCTCGAGTGATCAGATGGACACAGAAGGGTGTCCATACAAAATGGAGATGCACAATAAAATGAATCCTCCTTCATCCCATGGGAGGTATGTAACAGACTTTGGAAGAATATACAAGGTGTGGGGACTCTAACTCTGTTCTTCTCAGCTGTGCTAGTCCTCACAAAATTTAAATAGACTTAATTGTGTGATGTTTGTGATGCCATGGTGATGAGTAAGTGTCACTGGAAAGTTCATCCCTGTACAAAACATTCTACCCCCTCTGAGCAGTTCCTCAGATCATTATCTTCACACATTCCTGGCAGATAATTGCAATTTTCTTTAATTCTGTCATTGAAAAATGACAGCAACAAGCCTTTCAGCAGTAGTGTAGAGTTTGAAACTGCATAAGGACCCTTTGTTCTTAAATAGAAAGCCTATATTTCCATCAGTCAATGTTCTTCTATGAAAGGCCTGAAATATCAAGTTGATCTTTGCCTTTTTTCCACATCTCTGATGGAAGACATACTGATGTCTCTTCCCTGCCATGGAATAACTTCCTTGGTGTGTAATTGCCCTGGAGCACAAGATGTGCCCCAAATCCCTGGATAAAAACAGACTCTGCCCAAGGGAAGAGTAGGGAAAAGGTTTTAGAAGAAATTCCTGAATGTGGCAACCTCTGTCCTCTGCATGCTGAATCCCTCCAAAGAGCCCATATCACATAGATTTCATCCTGCAAGTGGGGACAACTGGGCTTAGACATGAGGCTGGTTACCCAAAATGAGAAGTGGAAATTTCCATCACTGAAAATATGGGGAAAACAGGGCTTGTAAAAGAAAGAAACACTTGATTTAAACTAATGTTAGTTAATTTGTATTTGGGCTTTCTTTTGGTGGGGGTGGTGTTTTACCGTATTGCATCTATAACTACAGATTGCTCTAGGATACATGGGAGGAGAAACACCTGCAAAAGGACAATTTTCCAGCATTAAATGCCTTTCTGTGGCATGCTTTCCTAACCTGTGCCAGGTCACCCTTGTGGCAGGCAGTTTCCTGGCATTCTTCACACTCACTGGCCAAAAAATCCCTCAGGTTTATTTCACCCCTGGCTGACTCAGAGTGGAACAATGGAAGGTGGTGAGCAGGGGACTTGTCATGATGGATTCCAAGTCCTTTAGTTACACAGCCTTTAAAACAATGGAGAGTCCCGCTGGAACAATGAACCTTGTGATTTATCTGCAGTATCTGGAGTTAAGCTAAATGTTCCTTTATTTCTAACTTCTCTGTATTAAGTTCCTTTCTTGTAAGGAAAACAGATAAATCTTGGGAAGGTAATACTGGTTTTTAGTGGACGCCCATCATTCTCCTCTCTTTTCAAATGAGCTGGTAACACAATGCCATGGGTCTATTGTTACCCTGCTTCCAGCTGAGACTTTTAAATGGTAATGTGGACTGCTCCTTAATTTAGTGCACTCGGTCTTTTTTTGAAGAGCAAGTGGCAGCCAGAAGGTGTTTGGGAAGGCAGCAGTTGCTAAGGTTTGGCTGGCTGTGCCTCTAGAAAGATTCCAAAAATGTACAGGCTGTGTGTTGGTTCTGATGGAGGGAGCTTTGTCAAGGGCTGAAAAGGCAAAGTTGTAAATTCTGCCCTTCTGTTTTTATGGAAAGCAGACGTTGATATCTGAAGCCCACACATTTGTATCACTGCCATAACTAATGACTTGCATTGATGCTCAGTCCCATTTGTTTGGTCCCAGGGAAGGAGAAAGTCCTTAATAAATCAATGAAATTGTCATTTCAAGAATGACACATTCAGCACTGGCAAAGGGTAATTATATTTTATGGGTACTTATTGACTCTGGTGCCTTCAAAGCTCTTAGTGTGATGGGGAAGAGAAGTGAATGGGATTGCTCCTGGGAAGTCTTCTAAGAACAGCTGTGAATCAGAGCAGTCACTTCAGAGTCCAGGATAAACTTTGCTGAGCTCTTACAAAAGCTTCCTTTGAAAAATAAGACCCAGTTCTTTGTGTGGAAATGTCAGGTGCCACCTCATGATGTTGACTGTGTGCCAGCCAAAGCTTCTTCCCTCCCCTCTGTGAAAGGGCACTTGGATGTCTGGACTCATCTCAGTGATCTGGGTTTGACCTTTGCTGGTTTTTCCTAATTTAATTCCCTGTGTTCTGTGAGCATGTGGGATCAGAGCAAGTGCTGACCATGCCCAGTGGTTTCAAAGGGCTTGAGGAAGGCAATGAAAGAACTCAGTTACATGCAGCAGTTTCCCATGATGAAAAATTGCAGTGCTGAGTGTATTGTGCAGGAGGGAAATTCATCTTTGGAGAGAAATTCAATGGAAACAAACTTATTAAGATATCAGGAGAGGATTGTTTTCTGCAGTATCATTTCTGGCACTTTTTTGCAGTCCAACTTTAAATTCTCATTTATGAGACTGTTCTGTCATTACTGACTCTCACCATCAGTGTTTTTCTCTGCTGTATATGGGAAATTGCTATGGTAATGTGAAAAAGATCAAAACAGTAGAAATGCATATAACTTAAAGCAAAGTTTGCTAGTGCCTGCCTGTGGGCAACCCTTTTCTTGTATAAAATAGGATGTATATTTTCAAGGCATTAGGTACTTTGCTCTCTTTTCCCCAAAAGATGCTGGCCTTCTGAGTTAAGGGTACCACTGTGTCATTTAGATCCATCTGTTTTGTAAGCAAGTTCTCTTCATACAAAAAGCAGGATACCCTTGGCTCCAGTGGGATGTCACCATTCAGTGAGGTCACAGTCCTGTGAGCCCAGGGTAAATCTCAGACACTAGCAGTGTTGAGGATCCTGTTCAGGGCCTGGTGCTGGTATTACCTCACTGGAAGACCCTACAGATGGATGGTATTACCTACAGAAGACCCTACAGAGCTTTGAAAAGTGGCAGGTCAGGTTTGTTAAGCAGCATTGATTAAAGCAACAGAGAACTTGCATTGAAGCTGTTGATTCAGCTCAGGGGAAATCTGCTGCACTGGAGTCTCTGCCCAAGGCACACATGTGAGCTGTCACACTGCCTGCAGGCTGCAGTGGTCCTGCACAGTGAGACAGTGGGGCTTTCTGCAGGAGTTCCCTCAGCCCAGCTTTCTCCTGGGTGTTCAACAGGACTTTTGGAGTTTTGCTATTGACTGTAATGGGAACAAGGGTGGGTGAAGAGAGAGCATCAGTGAGTACAGCTGGGCACCTGAGCAGAGATCAAAATGCCCTCTGCTTCCCATTCTGACCATTGAGGTAGGCACAGCAGAAAAGGGTGAGGGTCAGAGAGCCATGCTGTAAAGCAGCATTATGGCAGCAGGAATGGCAGTTCTCCTGGGACTTCTACATTCACCTCGTTCTTAACAGCCCCTTCCCATCATGGCAGTGTGATGTGTGCAGGGAAAAGTGGAATCACTGGGAGGGGAGAAGAGAGGAGCAGGTCACATTTCTGGCTTCTGTTCCAGGCTCTGCTTCCATATTGCTTTTTTTTTTTTTTTTTTTTTTGACAAGTAATTTAACTTTTTCCAGCAAGGAAAAAGGAAAAAGAAGTCTAACGTTGTACGAGGTCTTTAGCTGAAAGGACCTGTGTGGATATGGAAAAGATAAAAGCAGCAAGGAGGGAAGAAACATTGTAACTCTGGGTCTGATTTTTTTCTGGAATCACTGTTTTCCCCAGTGTTAGTCTACTTATGTGAATCGGGTGCTATTTGATTTTCTTTCCAAGATACCTGTGTCTCAGTGGTAGAGAAAGGAGATGAAGAGTTGGAAAAGAGGACAACTGTTGTTTTTCCTTGCTGCAGGATAGAACACCTTGGGCTCAATGTTGTCCTGCAGCTCTTGGTTGGGGTTCCTCTGGAAATGGTGCACGGAGCTGCGAGGATCAGTTTTGTGTACGTTGCAGGAGTTGTGGCAGGTAGGTGACACCTCTGCATGCCCCACGTGGAGAAGCAGTGAAAATGGTCTGTGCTGGCTTTTGAGTTGGAGAAATGTCATGTGATATTTGGGGTTAGGAGAGGACCATTCACTGATCTTCTGTGCACTGAAATCCTTTGTGGGGCTGGACATAGAAAATGTGGTACAACTTGACATCTATTTCTACGTAGCCATAGACTCTGTGTTTGGGAGACCTGCTAAAAACGCACCAACTACCTGTTATTTTAAAATAGCCTTGCTTTAGATGATCTTCCTGATGTGGAGTCATGCTGGTCCTGTGGCAGTTCTTCCTACGTTTGTCCTGTCTTTCACCTTTCTACAGCCTAAGTAAGCAAGAAGTATTTGGTTATAGATTGTGAGCAGTGCACAGAAATCTGGAAAATTCATTTCATCATTAACCCATGGGGCCTGATTGATTTTTAGTTTGTGCTGAATTGCTTTTATTTATGTTTGGAATTTCCAGCAGTTTGGAGGTGATGAAAGTTGACAATAGATCAACATCTAGTTAAAACAGAAGGAGGGTGTGAAAACAACTGAGAACTTTATAGTGGAACTCAGACAGTGATTGACTGCCTTTGTTCAAGATTTATAGTTTTTGTTTGGTTTTTTCCAGCCACATAATTACTTTTTTCCATAATAAGCAGATAAACCCTTTGTAGAATGGGCTGCATTGGGTACTAATAAATCCTTCATTCCAGGAGACAGTCTGTGGGAAGAATAATTGGGCTAGGGCACAGGATGAGGCATGGTATAAACACCAACAGTATTTAATGCAAAGAAAGGAGTTAGCAGAGCATCTCCACTGTCCCCTGACTGTTACTTTAACAAACACTAACAAAAGTGGTGCCCAGTTTGCAACTTCCCAGATATAGCTTTTCTACACAGATACACCTACCAAACCCCAGGGCTTCACTGATGTCTTAGCCAGTTATGAAACATCTTTTATTCTTTGTCACGTGCCAGGAGAGAGGAAAAGGGGTATATTCATGCTGATGTAATATAAAGATAACTCAGCTGCTAAATAATCAGGAATAGACAAAATGTAGTAAAATGTAAAATGTAGTTAGGCCACAACTTTTATGGTTCTTTCTCATTTGTCTGGCTTTACTAAGAAGACACATTAAGAATGGAAATTGAGGCACTCAGTGCAGTGCCTGAGGACTTAACTGCAAGTTCTTATTACTCCTTCCTTTATTTCTCATTAACTTTTTCCTTAATGGCAGTGTTTAAGAGCTGAGAAGTCTCAGGGCCACACAAGGAAGGAGGGAGCTATCAGCAGAGTTGGCTGGTGGAAGCTCAGCACTTTCTTGACCTGGAATCAGTTGGGCAATTAGCAAAGAAGTTCATTAGGTTCTGTGCTACCAAGGGTTCTCTCAAGATTTGCCAATATGTCTTTTTCCCATTCACAATCATCACAAAGATCATTATCCCTTCCTTGTGCCAGCAAATCTGCCTTTCCTTCTATCGCTTAAATTATTCTTAAAGTCAGCAAGGAAAGGAGCTTTGAGCAGATCCAAGCCTCCAACTGGGATAAGAAGAAGCAATGTCTGTGTTTGGCTGTATTCTTATTAGTGGTGCCTTTATGTACTTGACCTGTCATTTTGCAGGCATGTGCCTACTGCCTCCATCCAGGTTATTTTTGACTAGTTTTACTCTGAGTTTTACAGGTAATAGGCTGTGCTGTGAGCAGAGGCCTGTGCTGAGTTACAAGTCCCTAGCTCCTTCCCCCTGTGCTAATATTTTTCTTGCCAACATGGGAGCTACTTCTGTTTTATCTTCAGGTGAGAAACAAACACAGACATTTGTCTGTCTCCTGCTCCCTTATTCTTTCAATCAGGGAATAAATGCCTTTTTGCAGGACAAGTTTAAAGACACATTGCTGCCTTGCTTGGCTGCTTTTAAAGTAGGTGCAGAGGAATCAATCAGTCACTGCCTTGACAGGACTGAGTTGGCTTCACGAGTCAATCAATTTCCCCCTCCTTCTCTTTCTGTGTTCCTGACCTGCAGCAATTAGCACAACCAGGCCATAGCAGGGATGTAGGGTAGGAGAGAGTGTGTTTGTTTGGTGGGCAATTGTCACAAAGCCTTGTTGTTTCCCCCAGGGTCCTTGGCAGTGTCAGTGGCTGACATGAGGGCGCCGGTGGTGGGCTCCTCTGGAGGTGTGTATGCTCTTGTCTCTGCTCACCTGGCCAATATTGTGATGGTGAGTACCAGAGTGACTGTCTGACCTCAGAGTGAGCCACATCTGGTGGCCCAAAGGGGCTGGAAGTAAGGCCTTACCCAGCTGTTGGTCATTCAGAGCTTGCCCCAGCTAAGAGTCTTGTCTCAGTGGTGTGGTTCTGGAATGGAAAAATTACCTTGAATTTGGTGGCTTGGTATCCTGATGGCTGACAGTTTGCCAGGACGACCTAAAGTTGTTGGTAATCCAAGATTTATCAGTGTTCTCCAGGCTATCAACTCTCCATGCAATGGCTGACAAATGTTTGAAAAGCAGACTGGCTCTGCAGAAGTGGCAGACCTGTTCCTGTCTGGATGTGCTATGTAATTTTAGTAGGTATCTAAGGAAATTTAGCATTCAGTGGATTCATGTGCAGAATATTCCTTATCTCCATTTGTAAAACCCAGACTGTAGCTGAACCCTGGGTGATCTAATGATGCGTCTTTTTGCTGTTTCACCTCGTGAAATACTTTACAAAGGTGAGCAAATACCAGCACTGTCCTTCTTCCAAGGTTGGAAACAGGAGTTCATCTCCAGCCCTCAGCTGGGTGGTGGCAAAGCCCAGCACAGCTGCCCGGGGGGCTCCTCAGCTGACACTGGGCAAAAAAGGCTTTGCTGGTAGAAGATTTGTGTGTGGTGGCATGTCTGTCCTGTACCAGCAATATCAGAGCAGAATAACCATAAAAATGAGGATAATGCTCCTCCCCTGGGTCTGAGTGGGAAGATAATGTGAGGTGGCTGCAGCAGAGACAGAAGATCTGTTATATGGGTGCTGGAGGATGTGTGTGTGTGTGGTGGTGTTGGAACCAAGCCTGAAAGAAAACCTTGTACTTGATGCTTGTCTGCAGAAAAGTCAGCAGCTCCAGCTGTGACCCACAGTGGTGCTGCTCCAGACAGCTTGGTAACAGCTGGGGAGTGAGAGATACCCTGAGCAGAACTGGTCTGCTTCACCCTCTTGAGCTTTTCAGAGCATGAATGAGCCGAGGCTGCTGTCCAAATTAGACAGTTGAGTGGCTGGCAGAGAGGTTGGAGCAGAGGAGAGGGCTAGCCCTATAGCACAGGGTTTCTGCTGGGAATTGCATCCCTGCATTCAGTTCTTTTCAGTGTGATTAGTGTTCCCTGCTGCTGTGCCAAGGGAAGCAGGAGGGAGCTTCCTCTCTCTCTCAGGGTGGTAATGCAGACACAGGGATATTTAAAACCACAATTCACAGGGTTAGAGAGGGGCATTGGAGGAAATATTTGCCTGCTTTAGAGGAACAGGCTGTTCCAGAGGCGTGTGGAGAGTCTTCAGCAGTTACCCTCCCTGACTTCTTGGAACATCACAAAGTGATCTGTCATTTCACTACTCATTGGCCTCCACCAAATCTATTTAGCAATTGCTACCTTAGCATCTTTATTTCTCCATTATCCACTGCCTCTCTTCTCATCTGAAATTATTTTTGCTGCCTTTCCAGTTCTGGTGGAGGGATGTTTTTGCTTTCCTTTCCCCCCTTGTCTCTCTGTGCTGCCTTGTTATCTAGATGCTCCTGCACACTGAAAGATGTGCTGGCTGTCTGTGGCAAAGCTCAGTCTGGCACAGCTGGGGACAGCAGGGGCTGTGGCAGGGAGGGTCTCTGGAATCTTCTGTTCCCTTGTGCCTCCTGGTAACCAAAGGAAATGGAAACATTCCTCCTTGGAAAAAGAAATATTATTGGAATTAAATACATAAAATAACCAACAGGGGGAAGCAATAAAGCATGTCACCCCAAGGAAAAGAGTGAGGGGAGGGATTCAAAGCAGCTGCATGGAAATGAAAAGTGAAGGAGGCAGCACAGTATTCATCAGCATGAGCTCAGAGCTTTCTGGCTGGGTTAGATCTCTCTGTGGAGAGAGAAAATCAGTTACTTGTTTTGTGGAGGTTGCATTTTTTGCCATCCCAAGTGCCATTAGAGATAGTCTGAAGAGTTTACAAGCATTCTTTTTATTTCTTCAGTAGGCAGCTTTTCACAAGAAACCTGAATATCTTGGTATCTCAGTCTGCCTTCAATAGGCAAATTTTCATTTAGTCACATAATAATAATAATAAAATAATAATGTTGTCTAATAAAGTAATAATGTTGTCATACATCTGAGTTTCTCAAAACATGATTTCTTTTCCTGCTTTAAAATTATGTGCAAGTGGAAAAGGAGGACTTTTAATATTTCTCCATGGTGTCTGATTATCATTCAGAGATTTTTATTCCACTATATTGATTAATAACCAAGCCTGAAGACAGAGGAGACTAAGTCCAGGTTTCCTTGATATACTTTGATTGAAGTCTTTATTGTTTCTTTATGCTCTGCCAAAGATCTGAGCTGCAGAATATCAGGGAGCCCGAGGCACAGAAAGTAGCATTGAAAAAACACAGTAGGGCTTGAATGCACTGAGAAGTTGCCTGACAAGTGACAGATTTAAATGTAATATCCCTTCAGGTTTGTGTGCAGCATGACTTTGTTTTCCTTGTCTCTTTTGCAGAACTGGTCAGGAATGAAGTGCCAATTCAAACTGCTGCGCATGGCTGTTGCCTTGATCTGTAGTAAGTACCACGCAGTGCTTGGCACACCAGCAGCCAGTCCTGTTTTGTTTGTCCTTGTCATAATACTTCATGCTGATTCAGAGGGTTTTGACTTTGCAGCAGTTTTGGTAGGAACTTGCAGCTGGACCTTCTGGCAGCAGAAATCACATTGCTCTCCACTGCAGATTTTGGCTTTCAACACAAGCATTTGTAAACAAGGATTTGTCATTAGCCAGCATCTGTAGCTTGTGGTGTTTGTGAAGGAGCTTAAACATCTTCTCTTTGCAGTCTCAAACATGCAATGCTTTCATAATGATAATACTTGGGTTTCCTAGAGCATGTCCTGTTTGGGATGGCAGCAGCATTATACCCACACTGGTGAATTCTCTTCCAGCCCAACCCCCGGGGGAACACAGTAAGGGAAACTAAGCTGTGTGTTCATCACAGACAACTGTCTTCAAACTCTAACTCATTTTAGTTATGGTTTTTGGAGTTTTTTGTTATGGTGTAAATTTCAGAAGGTAAAAATTCCCCAACCTGTCTCCACTCTCACAAACCCAGACCACTTTCCAGCCACTGGAGAGCCCTCATGTCTGTGTGCCACAACCCTGCCATAGCCACAGCTTCCCTGTGCTCACCATACAAGGCAATTTCCCCCTCTCTGTCTCCTCAGGGATGCAGTGCTTCCCACAATATGGACTTAAGAAGGAACAAACCTAGACAATTAACTTATTTTTTATTCTTTGTTCTAGTGAGCTTTGAATTTGGAAGAGCCGTGTGGCTGCGATTCCACCCCTCTGCTTACCCCCCATGCCCCCACCCCAGCTTCATGGCTCACCTGGGAGGGGTGATGGTTGGAATCACCCTTGGTGTTATCATCCTGAGGAACTATGAGCAGAGACTCCAAGATCAGACTTTATGGTGGATCTTCCTTTCTATTTACGTCATTTTTGTCTTGTTTGCCATCTTCTGGAATATTTTTGCCTACAGTCTCTTGGATCTAAAGCTACCTCCCCCTCCTTGAAAACATGGGACAGCAAACTGGAGAGCAGAAGTCATCTGTCAGCTGTGTTAAATGAATGAAGATGGAGGATTTATTTTTGTATTTAACTTGGGAGGATGATTCTTCTGAACACACAAGTGTGCTGGAGGAGGTGCTTAAAGATCTCATGAAAGAATGGGCTGATCAGTTTGTTCACAAATCCAGCAGTTTCTGTAACTCTGGCTGGCCGTGCCCTGCAGTTTCTGCCCTGCACCTGGGCACTGACTGCTTGGGTTGTTATCACACATCAATCTTTTCTATGAAATATTTGTATTTTTCAGGTCAGTGCTGGAATTATGGCCAATTGTTCAGTGAATTTCCTCTGTGTTACTGAACACTAAAAGGGAAAAAGAGCAGACATTTACTAATTAGAGATTCAAATGGTACTCCAAGGCAGCTTGAGTCTGGTTTCTTTGGACACGTCTGACTGTTCAGCCGTACCAGTGCCACTGTCTAATTACTTGAATGGTTCCTAAGGTATTTTAGCCTCTGCTGAAACTTGTCTTGCACAACTTTCAAAAGAATCAGCAGAACTTGATCACACAAAGTGATGGAGACTGGTCTTCAACCACAGGTCAAACGAAATTGCACTATAAACATTGTGAATCTTAGAGTGTTGTGGATACCCAGCCAGAAGTGACTTTTCCTGAGCATGTTCCACTTGATTTTAATTAATTATTCCCCCCCTTCCCCAGCCTGCTGTGGCTAGAGGGTGTGGCTGGATTGTTGTGGGTTTTTTTTGTTTTGTTTTGGTTTTTTTTTTGGTTTTTTTTGTTGTTTTTTTTTGAGGGATGAAGAAAAGGAGGGCAAATGTTCATTTGTGGTTTTATCAGATGACAATCAGGTGCTGTTTTCTTCTCATTTTTTTTTCTGACCACACTGACCTAACACCTGGCCTGCAGTGAGCTCCTAGCAAGGATCTCAACTCTTCCAGCAGGTTCTTACTAGGAAAATGGGACCATGATCACCTCCAGCAGCCCAGGGTGGGAACTATCCAGTCTTTACAGCCATGCAATCCATTTGGGGCCAAGTCCACTGAAGGCAGTGGAGTTAAATAAGTTTGTATGTAGCACTGGTTTCCCACTGAAGTGGAGAGGGTGTTATTTGCTACAGTGATCATTGTGAAATGAATAAAACTGGTTTTAATATGAATTCTAAAATTTTGAGGATGCCTCTTCCTGAGGCAGTGGATGTTCAGGAGCCCCAGACAACAGTTAGTTGCAGTGATGCCTTTTTCTGTAATGTTGGTCAAGCCCAGTTGAGGCAATCTGTAAGTGGGCTGTGACACAGTTCACACATTGCCTGCACAGACCTAGGGACCACATGGGGACATCTGTAACACAAGCAGAGCTTATAGGTACTCTTTACTGTAAGGTGCTTATTTTACTTGTCATTTTAGAGCGCTGCCAAATTACAGTCCAGGAGTGTGGGTGCCCTCCTTTTCTCTATCCTTTACCCACCTATTCAATGGTCTGGACAAAGTAGCCATAATAGTCTCTCCAGACAAGCTCCCCTCTTCATTTTTCCTGTTTCCTGCTGGTGCCCAGGCACAGCCACCAGAGTGTTTCACAGCACATCCCACGGGCACTGTAGCAGTTGTGTTTGCTCTGTAGAAAAATGTCTCTGTGTTGTGGGCTTTATTCCCTCAGCTGTGCTATCCATGCTGCCAGATGATACCACAAGCTAGTAGGAGCCTGTCCTTCTAGAGGGGACATCCACAAGTGCTTATCAGCAGCCCCCTTCTTTGCCTCTTACTGAAAAATAACTCTGGGTTGAGGGGTGAAGTCTTCTCCTACAAGATGCACGCATAAAATTTCTGTTGCCTCAGAAGGAGGGGCGAGAAAATAAGTGTTTCTGCAGATTGGAATAAGCCTTACCTGCAAAAGAAATAATTTTGGCACCTTTGTGCACAGAAATGGGATTTCTGAGGGCAATTGCACTTTTGCTGTTCTGCATGGCCAGCACATTGCTCATGGGCCCTCACTGAGGACCAAGAGGAAGGGATAAGGGCCAGAGCTCTGATCATTTTGGAGAAGGGATTGGTTCCCTGAGCCATTTTACCTCTGCAGTTTGGGTCCAGATCCCAGCAGTCACCAGAGTTCCCATGGATTGTTGCAGGTGCAGGCCCAGTGAGTGTTGTAGCTGTGAATCCCCTGGGAGCAGGCAGGAAGGAGAGTGGGAGCTGGGAGAGCTCTGACATGGTTATCAAGTAAGGAGGACATTCCTTCCCTCACCTATTGCTAAGCCTTTCTCATTACAGATGCCTTGAAAATACAGGTGACCAGGAATGGGACTTCTCCTGAAATCTTTGGAAAGCTTTTAAAATTTTGGTAGAAAATTTCAATTGCAAAAACCCCCAGATTATTTTGCCTATAATTTACCAGAGTGCAATGTGCACCAACTGACTTCTAGTTTTGGTTTCTCAGCTGAGAGCTACTTACTGCCCATGAGTTTCTTACCAGTAAAGGATTTGATGCCTTTCCTGGTGCCAGTGTGTGCTCGAGGTGAAGCAGCAAGATAAAAGTTCAAGAGCCACCAGTTTCTTGATCAGCTTGATCGTGGCCAAAATGTCTTTACTCAGCTCAGGAGTGGGAGGGAGCTGAACAGAGTAATGCAGACAGCCTTCCTTGATCCTTTTTCCATAGATGAGTGTAGTTTATGTGAACTGGTTGAAAACAGTTCTGAATTTGATCTTATGACTTGTTCTTTTAAAGTGTTGTTCATCTTTCTGACTTCATTCTGTGTCCCCACACCCTGCCTGAGCAAGTCTTCAACAACCCTGGGGATCAGAAAGGCCAGATTTAAGGCAGTGTTAGATTTATGGTAGGTGAAGGAATGAAACCCTTTCACATTCCTGTTCATCAGAGCTGAAATCTCCTCCCATACATGGAGCAGTTTGTGCACAGAGCCTGTTGTCTGCTGAGAATCAATCAGCCCACGGAGCCAGAAACAGCACAAGGTGCTTAAACTTTTTAATTATTTTTTTAATAATTAAAATTACAGTGTGAAAACTTGCTATGTTTTTACAGAGTATCATAAATTCCAGTTATGTTCTTTTCTAACACACTCTGGAGTGCCACAGTGCTGCAGCACCACAGAGCTAACAGCAGCCAGGCTTTTCTGTTACCTCCAGATGTCCTTGAAGCTGCTGCCTCATGTTGGAGATGCAATATTCTCCATCCTGCTCATTTGTGGTTCCAACCTGTCACAGTCAGCATGTTCCTGAAGGAGCATCCACTGACGGACTGGTTTCAGTGATGTGTTGTAATTTTATTTCAGCTACTGCCGGGATTTTCAGTCAGATAAAACATGAATCTATTGAAACTTACAACTGTGCAGTGCTGGAGCAGAAGGCAAGGACTGTCACCAATGTACAGGTTAGAACAGAGCACCTCGGAGCAAGTTATTTTATGCTGTGTCCTTGAGCGAGGACACAGCACCTGGGGAGAAAAGCAGCAGAGCAGCCCGTGGCGTGGTGGATTTCCCGGGGTGAGTGCATTGCAGCGGTCCGTGAGGGTGAGGACAGCCGGGGACACCTGCCGGCCGCGGGCAGCAGGGACAGGGCTGCCACAGCCGGGACAGGGCTGCCACAGCGGGGACAGGGCTGCCACAGCGGGGACAGGGCTGCCACAGCGGGGACAGGGCTGCCACAGCGGGGACAGGGCTGCCACAGCGGGGACAGGGCTGCCACAGCGGGGACAGGGCTGCCACAGCGGGGACAGGGCTGCCACAGCGGGGACAGGGCTGCCACAGCGGGGACAGGGCTGCCACAGCGGGGACAGGGCTGCCACAGCGGGGACAGGGCTGCCACAGCGGGGACAGGGCTGCCACAGCGGGGACAGGGCTGCCACAGCGGGGACAGGGCTGCCACAGCGGGGACAGGGCTGCCACAGCGGGGACAGGGCTGCCACAGCGGGGACAGGGCTGCCACAGCGGGGACAGGGCTGCCACAGCGGGGACAGGGCTGCCACAGCGGGGACAGGGCTGCCACAGCGGGGACAGGGCTGCCACAGCGGGGACAGGGCTGCCACAGCGGGGACAGGGCTGCCACAGCGGGGACAGGGCTGCCACAGCGGGGACAGGGCTGCCACAGCGGGGACAGGGCTGCCACAGCGGGGACAGGGCTGCCACAGCGGGGACAGGGCTGCCACAGCGGGGACAGGGCTGCCACAGCGGGGACAGGGCTGCCACAGCGGGGACAGGGCTGCCACAGCGGGGACAGGGCTGCCACAGCGGGGACAGGGCTGCCACAGCGGGGACAGGGCTGCCACAGCGGGGACAGGGCTGCCACAGCGGGGACAGGGCTGCCACAGCGGGGACAGGGACAGGGCTGCCACACCGCGGGGAGGAGGAGGAGAGAGGAGGAGCGGGCAGATCGAAGTCCACGGAGACCGCGAATGGCACCTTTTATTCCTAGACAGGTAAAGATCAGTGTTACACACAGGGGTAATAACACAGACATGAGGAGGGAGAGAGTTGTCATGCAGTGATGGGAGAGGAGGTTTCCAAAAAGGAGGTGTAGCAGTCATAAAAATGCTGATGAATTTATTTTGCTGAGTTTTTAAGACAACATCTTGTGTCACTGTTTTCCTTTCAGTTGATGAGGAATCCTAGCACTTACGTGGCATATTGTGCTTTTTCACTACTTGCTCCTTTGGCAGTGGGAAGTATGTTATCAACAGGGAAGGGGAGACTAGTGAAATTGTTACTAGAAATAAAGCTCAGGGATTCTGCGTCCCAATACCTTGCTGCTTCTGATGGATTACACTGCCCATGTGTTTTGGACCAGATTGGGCCCTTTCAGTTTGAACTGTGCTATGAGGATGGAATCTGGCATGTTCAGAGCTGGTACTGACACGACAGCTGACCTCACAAGGCAGCTGCTGTTCTCTGCCAATATTTAGTCTCACAAGATGGTGGGTAGGACTTTCACACATCCTTCAGTGAGCAAAGAGCTCAAAGTCTGTTCACAAAGATTCAAGCTCAGTGCAATTGCTTTGGAACACCCATCCACTGGCGTTGCCCAAAGTGGAACTGGAGAATGGGGACATGGCAGTTCAGCACCAGCCCCCTCTGAGGGCAAGCTGGGACTAGAGAGACCAGCCCAACACCTCTGAACATTGCTGCTCCTCTTACAGTGGTGGCTGCTCTGCAGGGCTTGGTGTGGTAGAACTCAAGATTCCTTCTCTAATTGTATAACCAAGAGTTGGTTATAAAGGAGTGCAGTGTATTTTGCAGTTCCATATAAAAGAATCACACCTAAGACAGAAACCAAGCTTATTTAAAGGCAAATGTATTTTAATGTCACCACTAATCATTGGCTTTTAATTGGAAAAAGCTTTCTAATATGCCAGTAGGAGTACAGAAAATTTACATTTCAGGGTACTTTACAGCACAAAGCACAAAATATTCCCTATGATTTAAGCAGCTAAAGTACCTTATTTTCAGCAAGCTTGATAGACACATTGTCACTGACTCTCTCCTGACTCCCACAGTGTCTGTTCAGTTTGCAAATAAAGCCAGATTTATGCAGCTTTTCTTTTGCTTACACCACTGATGCTAACAACACATCCAAGTGTTAAACACAAAGCACTAAACTACATAATTTTCTGCCTTAAAATACTGAACAAATGGTACTTTCCCTGTGAAGGGCTAGTAAAACAAAATGATATTTGCAAGGTAAGATGCTATTGTATGTTTCCAAATATTTTTGTATTGTGTACATTCTGTATATTTTTGTTGTGACAATATTATTTGAGCGCAGAATCCATTAAATTTTTTTGTGGTTTTGTTTTCTGTTTCTTTTTTTTTTTTTAATAAAATTGAGTTGTTCTTTATCACATACCAAAAAACCAACCAAGAAAGAACTTTCAAGGACAATTTTGTAAGTTTGTCTACAGTTAACATGGTTTTTAACAAAAGAGCCCTTGGTTTGGAGCTCTGACGTGTAATCTTCTAATAATGACATTGGTAAGTCATTTTTATGTGTGTCTAACAGATAAAGGGGAGAGTGAACTGCAGCTTCATTTCCCCACAAGATCTAATGACAATGCAGAACTGGCTTGGGACTTGTAGGGAAATTCAGGTGTTGTCCCACCTTTTGGAAGCTGTCCCTTCATTGCAGAGACCTCAGAACTGCAGGGAAGTTGATGACATTTGAGTAAATTTTTTTTACATTTTTTTAGATTTGAGTAATTTTTTTTTTTACTGGGGAGGAGGGTTGTGCTCTTTTAACATCAGGCTGTACTGAATGTTTTCAAATCTGAGCGCCAACACTGTCTTGAATCAAGGGTGGAAACAACATAATCCAAAAAAAAGTAAACCTCCAGCAAAAGTAAACTCCCAACTGATTAAAATAAAAATCCTTCTACCAGTGTGGAAGGCAGAGGCTTATTTTGAAAAATAAGTTGTGTTTTTGTTGGGAAACACTGGGTTAAAGTGTAATTTATAGGAATGAAGATGTATGTAGGGGCAGTTCCTGTCAGATGTGCTACTCCTAGGGGAGGCAGATCACTGCTAACTCAGCTCTTGCTGTCAGTTCTCTGCACTGAACTAAACTTTCTGAGACACTCAAATCACTCTGTTCATTAGCCGAGGACTTTCAGCACAAAGGTAAGGTGGGTTTTGCCAGCTTTTGTCAAGTAATACAAAAAGTGTTTCAGCCTACTAGCACCATACATTTTCTTGCTACCTGTTCTTCACATCCAACTTATTTTTTTAAGCACTGAGCTCTTTCTTGTGTCCTGATCATCCAAAAAAACTGAACAACCAGTGCTCCAACTTTTTTAGAAATGTATAGGAGCAACAAAAGGAGACATGTTTTATTGTGTACTGCTGCTGTACTTACTCATGAAGCTCCTGCAAATGAGGTTTGTTTTCTTTCACACTTGACATGTTTTATTGTGTGCTGCTGCTGTACTTACTCATGAAGGAAAGCTCCTGCAAATGAGGTTTGTTTTCTTTCACACTACTTTTCTTCTCCAGTACATTACATGCCACCTTGGCTACTAATGCCACACCTGCAGCTCCTCTGCACTGAGGGATAAAGGGTTTTCAACAGGAGACATCAAGGACCACACTCACTGACAATTTACAGGCACACTGTTGAGGATTTCAACATGTTTTATTGTCAGCTTTATTACAGGTTCAACACGGTGGTGTCACAGGAAAGCAGCAACTTCTGCCCTCACAGCACAGAGCAGCAGCACAAGTGACACTGAACCATGTTACTTACAGGCACCATTTCAGGGGAGTTCAAACACCCTTTGCTGCAAAGGGAACCAACAGGGAATTCTGCTTGTGTCAGGTTTGCAGAAATTGCTCTTTATGAGGTTACTGAGAGACTTCATGAGTTTTATTCCAGCTGTAACCAAGATTTCCTTCAGGTATTCTGCTGCCTATGTGTCCCGTGACGTGGGCAAGAATCCATTGCTGATACAGTGAAATGTTTTAAAGTCTGAGTAATTAACTTGGGAAGTTAATTTACTTCAAATTCTGAAAAAGTCTTACTATTAAATGTGGAAACTTTTTCGTTTCTTCATGACTGAAAAACAAAGGATTACTTACAGTTACGCAAAATTGTAATACAACAACATACAAAGAAGATCTTGATCACACCTCAGGCTAAGGAAGAAGGGGAATTTCAGATACCTGTTGTGTGTGTGTATGCACACATACAGGCACATACAAACTGACCACTGCAATGGCTCAGTCTTAAGGCAGCTCTGTTTCATACAATTACCAACGTGTTTATCCAGTGGCAGCAGAACAAACCAGCAGTTTCAAAGCAGAAACCAGACACAGACTTGGTACCTAGGTTCTCTTATCTAAACTAAAATTATTAATTCATTATCTAGATCTATCCAGATGTTTGTACTTCTTTATTAAAACAAAGCAGCCAAATCTAAATTATTTTAAGGATATTTAAAATATTTAGAACACTGACATGCTTGCCAGGTAAGGGATTTGGGTTTGGTTTTGCAATGACTATAAAAATCAAATGTCATGATTTCCTCAGAACAGGATCAAGTCAGTTGGAGTATCTGAAAACTCTGCAGGAGTTTGTATTATTTGATATTTACACATTAAAAAAGCTCATAGTGCTTCATCTAAAATCAAGAAAAGACAGGTGAAACTGCAGCTAAGGTTTGACTTGGGCAATATTTTGAAATATAAATTAAAAATCCAGCAATAGCTGCACTGCACAGAAGAAACTGATGATTTATACATAAGATAATTTTAAACCACTGATGTTTCTCTCATGAATTCCTCCAGGACGGTCACTACATTTCTGGCTTCTGGCATTTCTGCATGTTCTACTTTCACAATCTTCAGCAGGATGTCTCCACTGCCACAGTTCTTTAGGAACAGGTAGCACTTGAACAAGGCGTAGTGGTTCATTTCAGCCTGGCGGATAAACCTCTTCAGGTTGTTGATGTCCTGGATAGCCTGGGCAAAGAGTAACAGAGCATTTTCTTATCCTCCTACATGGAATGAAAACACACTATTGTGGAAAATAAAGGATAAATAGCGGGAGAAGCAAAAGCATTTCCAACAGAAATTTTGTATTACTACTTAAGAATAATATAAGACTTGAATATTGTCTTGGATGCATATTATAGCCTTCACTGAAATGATGCAAAATGTGTGGACACAATGTGATGTGACCACCTTGTAGCATGAATTCTATTATGGCAGCTCACCTAAGAAGTGTTAGCTACTGAACCCATTACCAGTTACATGAGATTGCGTGTGCAAGTCTCAAATTCACAGTATTTGAAGAAACAAACAACAGCAACAAAGAATGTGGGTCTTACTTTAAATTCGAGAAAACACCTTTGGAGCATTCACTGAATGGTCTGACACTACAGTTGTTCTTGTCAACTACAGTAAGCCAGCCCTCAATTAAGCTTCAGAGTTAGTCATTTAATAGACATACAGACATCATAACAACCAAAAAATTGTATTCAGTGCAAAATAATATTTTGCATATAGTATTTGCTTCCTCAGTAACCCACATATCTTCAAGTCTTTAACATATATGAACAGGTACCTTCAATTTAAAGTTTTCCAAAATCTGCCGGAAGAGAAATGGATTTCCACCTTCAGCACCATTCACAAAAGCTTGCATCCAGTCCTCACAGAATCTGTTGCTTCCTGTTAAATGTTCAGGAACACAGAGAAGGGACGAGAAAAAGCAAATGAGCTCAACATAGATATACAGCTGCATTCACCTGGTTTAATCATTCTCACATAACAAGTGATAGCAATATACCTGGGCCAGGAAATGAGTCTTAAGGAAAAACAATACACATGAAAAAGAAGAGCAAACACAGCTACAGTGATTACACAAGACTTGTTCTGATTGTTGAATCCCTTTTCCCAACATTTGTCAAAACCACAACAGGAAAAAAAAGTTCTGCAGATTCCCTGAATTGTACAAGTGATACTTTCATGGTCCACAAACTAAATGTACTGTGGATTTTACTACCAAGCATTTTCAACCCACATTTTCCAGTGTGTCTGGTGTAACAAACTATTCTGCTACCTCACAGGGAAACAGAACCTAAAGTTTCTGGGCAGAAATGATCTGAATATCCTCAAAGTGCCTCCAATGTCCCAGCTCTCAGCAGCTGATGGATCCAAGGGAAGTGTTCCCAGCTGTAATCTCACCTGCATTGTGCAGCTGGGGCCGAGGTCCACTACAGTCTATAACCATGGACTTGTGCTGCTCCTCTGTCATGGCAATGCACAGCGAGGTCATTGTGCCCTCCTGGACAAGTCCCTGCAGGCTGGCAGCTGCCAGGAACCTGACACAGAAAGCTCTTGTCAGCTGCTTGCTCCTTTACAGCTCCTGCACACCAAGGGAATGGTCAGACACAGCAGCCAAGTTACTCAACTTGGGCTCTAAGTATCTTTACCTGCTGATGTCCTTTTCTGTTCTTTCATCTGCATTTTTGACTTCTACAGGAGTGTAACTCAGAGCCTTAAAAAAAAGAAACAAAAAGAAAAAAAAAGGAAAAAGCTGGATGCAACTTCAGTATTACTTTTGTTGCTCCATTGCAGTTATGAGCAATTAATACATAATGTGGTACTTTAAAAATTGTTCTTGTCAAGGCAGTACTCTGCATTATTGCCATTGCACCTGGTTCTGCACTCAGAAGAAATTTAGCAGTTATACTCTGTTAGCTACTCCATCCAGAACCTCCTCAAAGTCAGGGACTAGAGTGAGGATTAGTCTCTTTTCTGTTTCCAGTGAACTACACAAGACATGTACACCATTAAACACCATAACACCCCTTTGCATTCAGACAATTATGGCATGGACAGACTGCTCAAGCTATTTCTGATTTTCTTATGCCAATTTCAGTGTGGACACCATTTTTAAGCAATAGAAGATATTGTTACATTCTTCTTTAGCAATAAGCAGGGGAAAAGTACTTGCTCTGAATTTAAAAAAACAACAAAAAAACCAAAACAAAACACCAAAAAAACCACCCCTCCCGCCCCCCCAAAAAAAACAACCAACCAACCAAACAAAAAAACCCCAAGACCACCACACAAAAAAGGTTTTGTCATTTCCTCCTGCCGGGAAAGCAAATGCAAGAAATATTTTAACCATGCTGGAGTCACTGAGATGCCTTCTGAAGGTTTTTTAGCTACCCAGTTTTAAATACACTTACAGCATGTAGCAGAGAGGCAAGTTTGTCCTGGAAGAGCTGCACAACCCTCTGGATAGGGCAGATGGCATCCTCAAACCAGCTCCTCAGGTAGGGGCTAACACAAGCCTCCAAGTTCTTTTGCTGTAACACATTGAAACATTACAACTTTAACTAAAAATCAGATTTCTACATCAATAGAAGCCTATTAATAATCTACTCAATGCAAGATAATTGGATGTTGGAACCTTGTTAATCTCAAACCACAGTGAACTAAAATAATGAGATTGAGATTTAAAGCCTCACTTTATCAGCAATGAAAGGCTTTGCATTTTAAGAAACAGCCAGAACTATAATATGATGGTATATATTGAGTGAAGGCCATGCAACAGCAGATGGGATTACAAAGAGACTTAAAATCCAGAACTTCCACTAGAAAAAATGTGCCAAAAAACCCATAAATGTCCTTTTGTAACATTCAGAACTGGTAAGAATTGAGGTGGACATTGATAAATTTCTTGTTCCTTTATTGGTTACTCTTCTCTCCAAATTTAACTGTAAGTGACCTTTAAGAGATTTATGACTGACACAAAAAGATCCCCCCTTTCTTTTTTTCTTTTGACTTGTGTGGCTGATAGCACCTTAGACATTCATTGTACTACAGTGAATCAAGTAGTGATTCTCCCTGTGTTTCATACTGGTGCTTGAAACACCTATTTTGTCTCTACAACTTAGATCTTCCAGATGGTTTTAGCAATTAATCTACATAAATACTAATTTTCACCACTTAAAAAAAAATTAGGCTTTACCTCCAAATCAAGGTTTATCTTCAGATTTTGAATGTATTTGTCCAGCTCAAGTCTGAAAGTACCTTCTTAAGGAAAATAAGATGCATCAGTTAAGACCTGTATTTTTTCCTGTCAGTAGATGGCTGTGACTGACTTTTTCAGTTACTGAAAGGTGTGCACAAACAAGCTGATTTCAAGTAGGAACAGACAAAATGACAAGATAATTTTTACATTGTCTCCCTCTCCATACAGGTAAAGAAAGTTCAAGGTAAGGATATAGTTCCAGACCTTTCTCTGAGCCACCTAAGAAACAAACCACGTATTCTGGAGCATTGATGTCTGATTCCAACGTTGCCATTTCCAGAAGACTTTCTTGTTGGAAACGACAGTAGTAACACCCAACTTTACCTTCTGGTATGCTATGAGAAAAGAAAAAAAAAAAGAAAAAAAAATTACTTTCCTCCAGATACATCACAATAAATGATGTCTGCAAAAAGCAGACATACATGATTTCTGAGGCAATTTTAACTGTTAGCACTGGTGCTCGTATGGCCGTGGTAGGTGCAGCTCCTAAACATTCTCTTTTTTCTTCTGTGTGATCAGATTTGTTTAAAAGGAAATAATCACAAATATCTGTAGTATTTTTAGAGTATTCAAACAGTAAATTATTTAAAACAATATTTTCCTCAAAGTTACCTAAAAAAGGAAAGTGCCATCATGTAACGCTATTATTAAAGCAACAACAGACTGGGAACATGGAATCAGGATTAAACCCAAGTGCAGCAGCAGGCAGCCAAGATGTGCCAATGTTCCTTACAGCTCTCATTCGCCAATAATTCCAAACCTTTACCTGAGCCCCACTGACGCCACATTCCCCATTCCTTCAAACAGCGCTCCCTTAGAAAGACGCTTAGCGATGAAACCGCGCAACTCCGTCTCCGCTTCAGCCGGTAAGTTGGTGTCCAGCAAGGAGAGGCTTTAAAAACCAGAAGAAATCGTTACCAAAAGGCAAATGTTATTGTTTTGTGTCTCTCAGCATGTGCAGGGGGCTCCCTGGGATCTCTCTCTGATGACAGCTAAGGCAGCTCTGTGACTTTCGGCCCATCATGAGCAGTCAGTGGCTTGCTCATGACCAGGAGTCTGGAGATGTGGTGTCAGCTCATGCTGACCTTCCCAGCAGCTACACACAAGACACTGCCCTCTTTGTTCCTACATTTCCCCAACTGCAGCGCAGAGTTTACGGAAAGATATCCATTGAAAATTAATAAATTCTTGTTATATTTTACCTACATGAAAAACTGAGTCAATACAGCAATATCAAGTACTAGTAGCACACACAAAAAAAAGTTCAAACTCAAGGATGACAGATACTGTTTAATACATTACTTGAGCTCTGTATGTGTGTCCATTCCCCAGGTAATCCAGAATAAGTGCCATGGGGGACTCCATAATGCTTTCACAGGGAGGTTGTGTTTTGAAAGGACTGCAGAGGACCTAACAGTGATCTGACAGCAATACAGCAAAGACTTCAAACCGGGGTACTCCCGTGACTGCGCTGCTCTGCAGCCCCCTTTACCTGAAGTCTTCGGCGGAGGGTGTGTGCGGCACGGCGCCGCCGGCACCGCCATCCCCGGCCGCGGCTCCCGGCAGCGCGGACCTGGAACCAAGAGATTCCGGGAGGGAGTTTACAGCCGTGACACGCAACAGGGAACAGCAGCAGGGAAAAGGCACGGCCCGAGGGCGCATAAAAGCAGGAGCGGGGAATCCGTGCATTATGGGAGGGACAGAATCTCATTGGGGAGAACGAGAAGGGGGGAAAAAAAATAAAGGGAATTCAGGGAGCTGGGAATGGCCAAGGCCTGGGCACGGCGTCGCCGCGGGGGAGCCCGGCGCCTCACCTGCGGTAGCCATAGAGGCCGTGGTAGGTGCAGCCGTGCCGCTCCGGCCGCCGCTCCTCGCCCGCGCCGCCGCCGCCCTCCTCGCTGCTCTCCAGCTCCCGCTCATCGCCGTCCGGCAGCGCCGGCAGCATCGCGGCCGCGGCCCCGCCCGTGCCGCGGGAGCCACCGGGCGCCTCCGCAGCGCTCGGGCCGCGGCCTCACCGCAGCGAGGGCGGTGCCGGGGAAACGGCTGCGGCTGCTGCGGCTCCTCCGTGTGTGTAATGCACAGAGAAATGCAGTACAGGCACCGCGGGGCCTCTGACAGTACAGTCCTTCAGAACCGGTCACTGACTTAACGGCAGGACCTGCTCACATCACTTTCAGAATTATAGAGTGGTTTGGATTGGAAGGGGATTTGGCAGGATTAGCCATGCTGTCTGCTTTTTAAAAGTTCTGCTTCTGAAATTCTTTTTCCGTGTTAAAACTGCACATTTGTTAACTTGGCCTTGTGGCTACTGAGTTACAGAATCGCTATCACAGAATCGTTGGGGTTGGAAGGGATCATCCAATGCAGCTGCCCAGGGGACCCTGGAGTGGGTGACACGGGAACATCCAGGGGGTTTGGAATGCCTCCAGAGAGGGAGGCTCCCCAATCTCCTTCTGCAGACAAGCCCCGCAGGGAGCAGCTGTGACCCCCAGCTGCAGCAGGGCCACTGCCAAGGGCCGGACGTGGCTGACGGCTGCACTTGGTCTGACAGGTCATTTAAAACCGCAATGATTCTGTGATTCTCTTCCAAGCACCTGGTGGGCCTGTGGTGAGCTGAGAGCCATGGGGGTAACACAGACACACACCCTGATGGACTGTCACTGTAACAGAGGGACAGCCCCTGTACAGGTACAGGTAACTGACAGCTCAACACATTTAAGTCGCTTTTATTGTTCTCACACCCACCAACACAGGCACAGCCAGCACCAAAACACTGCACACAGCAGCCAGCTTCTTGCCCAGTAACATTTAGTGGGGAAAACAGTTTGTCTGTGACATTAAACACGAAGACAAGCAACAGTTTAGATAAGGAGGAAACTCGTTTCTCTGAGAGTGCTGAGGCCCTGGAACAGGCTGTCCAGAGGAGTTGTGGTGCCCCATCCCTGGAAGTGTTCAAGGTCAGGCTGGACAAGGCTTCGACCAGCCTGGTCTAGTGGAAGGTGTCCCTGCCCACGGCAGAGGGGTGGAACGAGACGGGCTTTAAGGCCCGTCCCGGCCCAAACCATCCGTGACTGTTTCTGTAACAGGCTCAGCGCCTCAGGCACAGCCCTCACAGCCCCCACGGGGCAAAATGGCGGCGGCGCCCTGAGGCGTCACGGGACAGCCCGGCGGGGGCAGCCGCGCGCGCGTCACGTGGGCGGCCCGCGCCCTGCCGGCGCGGTGCGTTCTGGGAGCTCGGAGGCCGCCGCGGCGCCTGAGGGAGCTCGGCCGCCATTTTGTGCCTCTCGTTCGGTGCGGGGCGGCCGCGCGGGCGCTGCGGCTCTGAGCGAGCGCTCGGCCCTCCTGCTCTGTCGGTCGGGGTGACGCCGCCATGGGCCGTAAGAAGAAGAAGCAGCTGAAGCCTTGGTGCTGGTATCCTTCTGTGTGGGACGCGGCGGATGCAGAGAGCTGGGTGGGGGAGGGTAGCGGCGCGGCCTGGCGCGGTCGGGGCTCGGTCCCGTTTCGTCTCGTCTCGAGACGGGGCTCAGCCCTTCTCCCCGCGCTCCTCACGGTTTGTTTCGGTGCTTGGCCGTGTTCCAGCCCTGTGCTGCTCGGGATGGGGCCCGGTCCGTGCCCTTCCCGTGCTCCCTACCCGCACGGCCTCAGGCCCGCTCCCGTCGCCCTCGCCGAGGCCGCGGCCTCCGCCCGAGCCCTACAGCCGGGACAGCGGGAAATGGAGAATGGCCTTTATTCCTTGCGAGGGAGGATGTTAAAGGGAGAAAATCCTGCTACTGATAAATACATTTTTTTTTTTTTCACGGAATGAGATGGGATGAAGTTAAAAGAGAAATTTTTTTAAGCTTTTTTTTTTTTTTCCCTTCGTGATGGGGGGAGCTTTGTAATTGCTGCATCATGATCAGGCTTAATTTTTCAGTATCCGGAAATACTGGTGGATTTTTATTTCATCGCTCCTTCAGAATGTCCTCACTGTAGTGGAGTGATTATAAATTTGCCTTCTCTGTTACGTTTCTGTCTTCTAGAATTGTTTAATAAAGAAATTTAAAAGGTGCTCCGAGGTATTTTACCATTTTGCTTTGGAAGGCATCTGTGATTGTTTTAGACATTAATTTATTTCACGTTTTGTTGGAAGCAAGGACACATTGTGTTAGCCATGGTGACGTGTTCTTAATAATAAATAGCTAATGTGTATTTGTCTCACCTAGGAAATGTGTGGAGTGTAATAGCAGTGCTGATCCACAGAAAGGAAATGCAGTTTGCTCTTGTGTTATGTAGATGTCCAAACAGTTCTTCGCTTAAAATATTTCTTTTTAAAAGCAGAGAATTCTTTTGTTGCTACAGCAAATTATGCTGTGTCATAAAAATTGATAGCTGCATAACTGGAAGAGGAAGGGAATTTTAAATTAAAACCTTTGTTCTCTTTTATGATTGTTAGCTACTGGTAATTTATTAAAGAAGCACTTCTGAGTGATTTGAATAATTTCCCTTTGCTGATTTCAAGCCTGTTTCTCCTTTAATGCTGTTGCAGTGTTCATATCCCCGAAGAAAAATAGGTGGGACTTGAAAGCCATGAGTCAAACCATGTGGAATCAGATGATGATTCTGAGTGCGTGCAGACACCTCCCCACTTCTGTACCTGAGTAAAGAGGGGGGTGCTGGGCAGGATGAGGGTGTTTGTTTTCAGACATCCGTGAAGTATTTGTCACCCTTTGAGTGCTCAGAGGTGCTTCTTGTGCCTTTCTTTTGCTTCAGAAAAGTCACACTGGTGCTCGTTACCTCAGTCCTATCTGAAAGGTCCCTTCCAGTGTTAAATGTTTCCTTAACAGTCTTCAATAGGTACTGTAATAGGGATTTTGATGATGAGAAAATCCTTATACAGCATCAAAAAGCAAAGCACTTTAAATGCCATATATGTCACAAGAAGCTGTACACAGGACCTGGTTTAGCTATACACTGCATGCAGGTAAGGAGTTCTAGATTTACATGACCTTTTCTTTACAGTATCTAAAATTTAAGTTTCATGTCCTCAAGCAGGGGAGTTGGGGGCTTCCAGAGTCTGTAAAACTGGTGAGAAAAAGGCAGCAGTGTCCTGTTTGCAGCACAGGAGTCCTGCTGTGTCAGCAGTCAGATGGCTGCTGTGCAGCAGAAACCTTTCTCAGGAGTTTTGTAGGTGTGAAGGAATTGCGCTGTCTCAATTAGAAAAACTTCAATATCGTTTATATAAACTGGTTTTAGGGGTAATAGTAATTACCAGGGATTAGGAGGCACAGATCAAGAAAATGCTTGGCCAGAGAGGTTAGTCCCATTAAGGATGGTCCTTTTCTGTCTTCAGACTGCCTGAAGAACACAGAGAATTTACCCTGAAATGTGGTCAGCAGGATTTGTTTAGTTGGTTTGATTTTTGTTTTGGTTTTTTTAGGTACATAAAGAAACAATAGATGCTGTTCCAAATGCTATTCCTGGAAGAACAGACATTGAACTGGAAATCTATGGAATGGAAGGCATTCCAGAAAAAGACATGGAGGAACGGAGGAGGTTACTTGAACAAAAAACTCAGGGTAAGGTGTGATGTGCCTGGTTGTCTGTTGCTTCCCTGGTGTGTTCCTTACTCAGCTGTGGCCCTCAGTGAGGGTGGGATTTAATGCATTCTCTGACAGCAGCTCCAGGCATTTGCCAGCCACGTGGGAGGGATTTTTCCTTTCCTGTTCAGAAGTAGCTGCTCCCAGAGCAGCTCCAACACTTACCTAATGAATATGGGCATGGTCATTTATTTGTGAGGGTATGGGGAGGAAAGGCTAGAGGTAAAACTGTCCTGATGATTCCAAATGCTTCAGTTTATTTGCTGTTCAAGCCTTTGGTTGAACTGCTTTGGTTTGTGCAGGACAGCAAGACACTGATATGAGGGCAGATGCCCCTGTGTGTTCAGGGTAATGGCAGTGTGAGTCGTGTTCCTTCCCTTTATTTGTGGCTGTAGGTTGGCTCACATAGCATTCTTTTGTTGTATTAATGTGACTTTTTGAACAGTGGCAGTGTTTGAATTTGGCTGTTAGGTAATTTTATGGAATATAATTTGTGTTCAGTTTGACCATATGTGTTGTACTGTCTGCAGAGAGCCAGAAAAAGAAACAACAGGATGATTCTGATGAGTATGAAGATGATGAATCTGCAGCTTCAACTTCATTTCAACCCCAGCAAGTTCAGCCACAGCAGGGGTACATTCCCCCAATGGCACAGCCAGGTTTGCCTCCTGTGCCAGGTGCACCAGGGATGCCTCCAGGTGAGTGGCTGTGTTATGTTAGGTGATTGCTGAAAAGCTCAGTAGGAGCATGAAGTGCTGCTTGTATACTTGAGTAGTAATCTGCCCTTTTAACACTGGGGTCACAGACTGGTTGTGGGAGGTGCACATAAGTACTTTGTTCATTTTCTTGCCCTGATCTGTGCATGAGCACGTCTTCCTTGCTGGACTAGGTTCAGATACCTATTGCTGCCATGTAGACTGAAGGCATGTGTTAGACAGGTCAGTGCTTCTAACAGAGCTCTAGCAGTCATACTTGCTCGTAGTATTTATAGAAGGGTTTTGGAAAACCTTTTTATAAAAAGGGCAAAGCTGCTCTGCATCTGGAGACTTCTAACACAGAACAGGCTGTTCACACACAGGCCACAGATACAGTGAGGAAGGAATTTTGATCAGTGAGTAAAGAATGGTCTCTTGTAATAAGGTCTTCTTTGGAGGCCACTAAGAAAGTTCACAGTCTTGCAGGGCTGAGGACAGTCAGTCAAAGTCAGATTTGCAGCTAGTATTTATATTGCGCTGTTTGTAAGCAATATTATTTCAAATCCAATCTTTCAGAAGTTGCTGTAAAGCATTTATCCAGTGTAAACTTATGACATTTGTTTGCAGCTGTATGTTATCCAAGTTGTTGAAAATTTATTTTTCTTTTAAGGTATACCCCCATTAATGGCAGGTGTTCCACCTATGATGCCTGGAAT